AAAGGTCTGGAAAAATCTGACTACAAATAGGGCAGGACACCACTCTGTGCCTGCAAACCCAAAGGCTACCATGGGGAGATGGGAAGAATGTGAGCTCTGGCAAGATTAGGCCAAAGGAAGGAAAGGTGCACACTTATGCCCGCACACACCAGTGTGTGCACGCACGTGTCCACATACATGGGCTAGAACTCACAGCCTGGGCACTGTCCAGTTTTGTTTTGTTTTGCTTTGCTGAAGGCTGGATCTCCACCACTTGAGACATAGCTCAACTATTTTTTTTTAGTCGGTCGTGGGGCCTGAACTCTGGGCCTGGGCGCTGTCCCTTAGCTTTTCAGCTCAAGGCCAGCACTCTACCACTTGAGCCACAGCTCCACTTCCAGCTTTTTCTGCTTATACAGTGCTGAGAATCAAACCCAGGGCCTCATCCATGCAAGACAAGCTCTATCACTGAGCCACCTTCCCAGCCCCTTCTTTTGTTTGTTTTTGAAACAGGGCTTCCTAGGTAGCTGAGCCTGGCTTCAAACTCTGGATCCTCTTGCCTCTACCTCCTTAGTACTAAGATTTTAGGCATTCACCACCACTAATTTTTTTTTTTGGGGGGGGGCGTTGTTTTCCTAAATAACAAGCACACAGGGCTGGGAATGTGGCTTAGCGGTACAGTGTTTGCTTAGCATGCATGAAGCCCTGGGTTCGATTCCTCAGTACCACATACACAGAAAAAGCGGAAGTGGCTCAAGTGGTAGAGTGCTAGCCTTGAGCAAAAGAAGCTCAGGACAGTGCCCTGGCCCTGAGGTCAAGCCCCAGGACTGGCAGTAATAATAATAACAACGATTACACCTGGAATTGCACATCCTCAAAATCACAGAAATACAGAAAGACCAGTCAAACCTGCTGGGAGACCCCAAGATCTTAAGGCAGGCACACAGATCTTTGCATGCACAGGCATGTGTGCACTCATATATGCACGTGCATGTGTGTGTACAGGAAGCAGGCGTGTCCCTGGGGGCATGTGCATGGAGCGGGAGAATGCATGCGCACACAGGGGTCATGAGCACCGGCCGGGGGGCGGAGGTGCCTGGACACCTCTAGGCACACGAGCGCGCGTGGGGCGGGAGGCGCACGTGAGAGCAGGACATGCCCGTGTACCTGCACATGCACGCGCGTGGGGCGGGAGGCGTACGTGTATCTGGACGCGCGTGAGGGCAGGGGAACGTGCACGCCCCGCACGCGCTTGAGGGCAAGGGCGTCGTGCACGTGTACCTGTACGTGCACGCGCGTGGGGCGGGAGGACGCGCGCGTGTACCTGTTGGTGCCCGCGTGAGGGCGGGCGCTGCCCACAGACACCGCGGGAGACACACAAGCAGACGTATTTGTACAAAAACACGGGCTGGCGCCCAGGTGGTGCAGGCTCACTGGTTTACCAGGAAAGGATTGAGCCTGGGCTCCCTCGAGAAAGGCAGGATGTCCGACCGCGCGCGACACGCACAGGCACTCTGCCTCAGGTGGAGGACGCGCGCGAACTGGACCCAAACCAGCCGCGCGGGGCTAGAACGCCAGGCTGAGCCTGCGCGGCGCACGCGCAGACGTGCAGGCAAGGACCAGGGTGAGAGCGAAGAGGAGTATGCGCAGACCTAGGTAGAGGCGCGAACAGAGACCCAGGGCGCATGCGCAAACGCGGGTGGCCGCCGGCCGGGGAGACGCATGCGCAGAAAGCGCTCCGCGAGCCGCGGCCTCTGGGCATCGACAGCTCCGGACATCAGGCCACATCCGGAAGTCCGTGGAGAGCTCTTCCGATGTTCAGCCTTTGATTCCTCAACAGCCACTTCCACTTCCGCAGACAATTCCGTTCCTCTTCCCGCCGTCCGCGAGAGTGTCCCAGTAGGAAGTACCCGCCGATCCTGTTTTGTTTCCGGGGGAATGAGCTACTCTGAAGGAACGCTCGGGACGTCCGGTGTCTATCTCAGCCTCTGATTGGATAGTTTTTTGAATAATTAGAGTGCAAGACAAAAAGGTATTTTTTGTTGCTTATACATTAAATTAATAAAGGAAATAAAGGATACACGTTTGTTATCTCTTGATGCAGGTATTTCTTCCCCGGGTTTTCTGTAGCGAGCAAACGAAAATTTCACCATCAGTGTAAAGTGTTTCCATTGGTGCGCCTTAAATAGCGCATACGGGCGAGGCCTTGTCGTGTTGTATGAAAGGAGAGAAGGTTAGCACTCCCCTTGACAAGGATGGAAGAGGCCCTTGGGCCTGACAACACGCATACGGTTAAGGCATTGCCACCTACTTCGTGGCATCTAACCATCGTTTTGATCATATTTTGTTAACTTTTCTGCCAGTCCTAGGGCTTCAATTCAGCGCCTGGGCACTGTCCCTGAGCTTTTGCTCAAGGTTAGCCCTCTACCACTTGAATCACAGCATCACTTCTGTCTTTTTCTGTTTAAGACACTGAGAAATCGAACCCAGGGCTTCATGCATGCTAAGCAAGCACTCTACCATTAAGCCACATTCCCAGCCTCTAGCACCCAGCTTTAAAATGGTTTCAAGAAGGGACATCACCTTTGCAATAAAATAAAAAATAAAATTGAAAAAAAAAATAGGATATAGCTCAGATTGCTGAGTAAATAGCAGGGTGATCTGGGCCCCAATGGCTCACACCTGTAATCCTAGCCACTCAGGAGGCTGAGATCTGAGGATAGAATTTCGAAGCCAGCCCAGGCCCGAAGTGGCACTGTGGCTCAAAGGGCTAGAGCCATAGCCTTGAGCTGAAGAGCTCAGGGATAGTGCCCAAGCTCAGAGTTCAAATCACATGAGTGACAAAAAGAAAAAGAAAAACATCAGGGTGCTGGTATTTTTTTTTTTTGAGATTCTCAAGTACTGTTCTTCCTGTAGTCACCTTATATAAATATATTTCAAATTAGCCAGTCACAGCAGATTGTGAACCAATAAATAATTATCAGAGCAAATGGCCTACTCTGTGCTTGTTGGACTTTCAGCTAAGAGTGTACCCTTCTGCAGAAGCAAATTTTGCCTTGCTGAGACAGTTCTTTGTTTTGAGTCCAAGGAGAGCACATTTATAACAAGTTGTAGAAGCACCAGCCTTGAGTAAAAAAAACTTAGGGACAGTGCCCAGCCCCCCCTAAGTCCAAGCCCCAGGGTTTGCAGACCAGCTTGGCCAGCTCCCTGCCCCACACTTGGGCCTAGCTCATGTCCATATTGAGCATCCTGTTCTCAGGGCAAGAGAGATGACCATGAAGGTGGCTGAGGAGCTGAACATCCACTGGGCCCCAGTGTTCTGGCAGACAGGAAACTTGCAATCAGGAACCCTAATGGAACAAGCAACCCTGTCCATCAAGGCCATGAGACATCTTGGAAGCTGGACAGCATAGCTCCTTCCTTCTTTTTTCGGTTTTTGGAGGGAGAGTAGGGAAGGGGCTGGTTCTAGGCTTGAACTCAGCCTGGGTACTGTCCCTGAACTTCTTGCTCAGGGCAAGCACTCTACCTTTCTTCCTTCTTTTCTTTCTGGCCTTTTCTGAGTTTATTGGACACAAATCTCCCGGACTTTCCCGCCTGGGCTTTGAACTGAGATCCTCAGATCTCATTTCAGTCCTTTGCGTTTGGTTACAGGTGTGACCCACTGGTGTTCAGCTCCTTCCCATTTTTTTGAACCACCATTCCATCACGTTAGTAAATTGTCCATAAGTTTTTGGTTTTTTGTCAGTTATGGGGCTTGAACTCTGGGCCTATGCGCTGTCCCTCAGCTCTTCAGCTCAAGGCTAGCACTCTACCCTTGAGCTATAGTGCCACTTCTGGTTTTCTGGTGATTTACTGGAGATAAGAACTTCACCGCCTTTCCTGCCCAAGCTGGCTTTGAACCAAGATCCTCAGATCTCAGTCTCCTGTGTAGCCAGGATTACAGGCAGATTACAGGTGTGAGCCACCGGAGCCCGGCTTTGTCCCTAAGTTTTTAAGTGCCAGAGTGTTCCATCCTTGTAAAGCCTTTGTACAGCACTTGCCTCCGATCATCCGAATCCTCAGCTGTCACATCAAGGCTAGTCTTCCCATGCCATCCTACTACGAGGGGCATCTCGTTCTGCTGCACCCTTGGTGATGGGTGCCTCCAGGACAGTTAACCTGTTGGCTATATTAAATGTAATTAACCCAACTTTTTCATTTATGGTGGACTACCAGAATAGAGCCAACTCAAAACTGCTGATACCTTATTTCTGGCTTATTTTTATGCCAATACTGAGCAGGAGTTCCCCTTGCTCTCCAGTTTCCTGCTATGACTCACGCCTATAATGCTAGCTTTTCAGGATGCTGAGATCGCAAGACGACAGTTCAAAGCCAGCCTCACCCCCAATTAACCACCCAAAGTGGATGTGTGGCTCAAGTGTTAAAAGCCACTACCCTTGAGCAAAACAGCTCAGGGAAGCCAGGCACAGGTGGCTCACACCTGTCATCCTAGCTACTCAGGAGGCTGAGATCTGAGGATCGCGGTTCAAAGCCAGCCTGGGTAGGAAAGTCTGTGAGACTCTTATCTCTAATAAACCACCAGAAAACTAGAAGTGGCGCCGTGGCTCAAGCAGTAGAGCGCTCACCTTGAGCTGAAGAGCTTGAGGGATAGCGCCCAAGCCCAGAGTTCAAGCCCCATAACTGACATAAAAGCAAAAACAGGGGCTGGGAAGGTAGCTCAGTGGTAGAGCGCTTGCCTTGCATGCATGAGGCCCTGGGTTCGATTCCTTAGCACCACATAAGCAAAAAGAAAAAAGCCGGAAGTGGCACTGTGGCTCAAGTGGTAGAGTGCTAGCCTTGAGCTGAAAAGCTGAGGGACAGCGCCCAGGCCCAGAGTTCAGGCCCCACCGGAACCAAAAAACAAAAAAAGCTCAGGGACAGCAACCAGGCCCTGAGTTCAAGCCACACACACACACACCACCCCCACCACCCCCACCCCCACAATAAGTTTGTGCTGTTCAAAATGAAATTCTTAGACAAAATTACAAGACATGAAAATCTTTATTTTCAAAAAAAATGTCTTTTTACACAAATCTACAACAGAATTCAACTGTAGAAAAAATAAACTATCCTCCGGAACACAGCTCTGGACACAGTGAGCTCCCATCCCTCCCGGAGGGCTGCCCACCCAGGGCGGAGCTGGAAAGGCCTCATCTTGCCAGGACACCCAGATCGATGCTACATGAAGCCCAGACCCCCGTCACAGAAGCCACCCTGTGCAGCCACGGGCCTCTTCAACCAGGGAGCCTGTCTGCACCTCTCCAAAGGAGAGCCAGGCGAGCTGCCTTTCTCCCTTGCGGATCCATTTAGGACTGAGTTGCCCCCTACCTTAGTGGACAGTTTTAGAGGACTCCAGAGCCTGGTGCCCCATCATACCACAGGCCAAGCTGATTGATCACGTCTGAGGCACCCCCAGACTTGGGCCACCAGGCTCCCCCGACAGCAGGCTGACGCACACACCCACACACCCGTGACCAACTGTGTGCAGCTCTGAGCCCAGCAGCCCCCTCCCCAGACCACTCTAAAGGTCCCAGCTGGGAGGTCAGGCTGGGGTAACAGTGAGTGGGGTCCCACAAGGAGCCTCCTCCTGAGGATGCAGAGGCTGTGGGGAGGGGAGGAGAGTGGGGGAAGACAGGGATGGGAAGAGCTATGCCCCTCCCGAGCTAATCAGCCTGGCCTGATCTGACGAGAAGAGGCACCATCTCTACACCACAGCACCAAAAGGCCGTTTTCGGCCCGACCCCTTCCAGCTGAGAAGCTGCCACTCTCACTCCAGCTGCCACACCTGGCGCTCTGTGCCCTCACTGTGCCCACAGGAAGCTGGCCGTTGGAAGGGAACAGCCGGTCTGTGGGGGGAGACCCTTTTAGCCTCACGTGTGTGTGAAACTTTCTAAATGTCAGGGAGAGATCAGCTCACATCAGAACTCAGGGACCACAGCCCACGGTAACCCGCACCCTGCCCCTGCCACAGAACTGTGGACACCATCCACAGTCCCGCCGCCAGCTCCAGCAATACAAAATGACTCCACGCAGAACACACCTATGCTCTCCAGTGACACCGTCAACCACTGGAGGCAGGCTAGGAGCCAGGGACAGGGCAGGGACGCAGGGACTAGCCTGCAGGAGACCAGGCAGCCGGGGGCCAGAGGGCCTGACAACAGCGTCACGTTGGGTAGTAAAGTATCAAAAGGGTACAGAACTATTACTGGAAAAAACACAACCCATGATAAATTGAACGTCACTCTTGTGTAATAAAAAATTAAAAATTTGTGTTGCCTCTGGGCACGGAACAGACAGGAACTCCCGAGTGGACGAGGACAGACAATTGGCAAGAAATGTCCCAGCGACTGGTAGAACCCTCTGGCGCCGGCGGCGGCACGTCCCCTCTGCCAGTGCCTTCACAGAGGAGCCGCGCTCGGGCCTGTCTCCGGTGCCCCAGGTCCCAGGCCCCGGAAGCTCCGGCCACACGCACGTTTGTTTCTTGCCAGTCCAGGTCTTCTAACTGCAGTCTCTGGCGGCCAGGACTCAGCAGTCGCTCTTCCACAACTTAATCGTCTTGTCGTTCTCCAAGGCGGCGGAGGCGATGATGTTTTCCGTGGGGTGACAAGCCGTTGAGATCACAACATCTGGAAGCCCAGGAGACTCGGTCAGGGCGCCATCGCCCACCAAGCTCTGTGCCCTTTGGCCCAGCTGACCACAAGGGGCTCAGTGCAAGCAATTGGAAGCGCTAGGGCAGCCTCACTCTGCCAGGGCGGCCAGCAGCCCCTCGCCTCCGGCAGCACGCTCTCCTCTGGGCTCCAGCTGGCTGCTCCTACTGCCACCTGCATGGCCCTCAGCCCTGGGGGGCTGTTCTGTCCCAGTGGTGGCAAACCAGGGCCCAGGCAGAAGTTGGCTGGCACAACCAAGCTGCTACCCATCAGCACAATCCACATGCTGACCGCACTATGCCATGGGGCCCCAGGCCTGCCTGAGTGCCTTCACAGCCACAGCCCGGAGTGTGGAGAGCGACAGCAGGTAAGTCCCCACACTCAGGGCTGTGTGCTCCCGGCTGGGGCAGCTGCCCTTGTTTCCCCTAACACAGCTGCGGGCAGGAACAGCGAGGATCAGGGAACCACTGGAGCCACTGATAAGAGCCAGATAGCGGGCGCTCACCAGGCACGCGCAGGCTGGCTCTGTGAGGAACCAACACCAGCATCTGAAAGGGGCTGGGGACTCGGGAACCCAGCTCCCCACCACAGAGGCAGCCACAGTCTGCCAGCCCAGGACCTGAGTCAGGACCACATGACTAGCCCTGAGACCCAGCAAGTGCACCTACAGCAGCCTCCAAACCAGCTACATCCTCTCAGGCCTGCCGGGCTGAGGAAGCTGCACAGAGGGCGCCCTGTCCCCTCAAGGCAGAGAGGGCCCTGTCCCCCAATGTGGGGAGTACCCTGTCCCCCCAAGGTGGGGAAGGTACACAGAGCAGAGCCCACCTGTGTGGCCCTGCAGCTTCTGCACGATCTCCTTGGTCTGCAGGTTCCAGATGTACACAAGGTTGTCCTCAGAGCCAGACACAATCCACTGGGCCACCGCAACAGTGCAGGAAAAAACACAAGGTCAGGGTTCAGCAGCCACAGACAAACCTTCCCATCTCTTTCCACCCTGTCCCCCCCATCCCTCTAGTAACTACGTGCAAACAAGCGCAGGGCTTCCCCTTGTCTCCCCAGGGCCTGGCACCTCACAAGCCCCCACAGGAGGCTTTCTGGGCGAAGGTACTCCTTAGGCCACTATACTCTCAGTGTGTCTCAGTGTAGCCCAGGATATTCAGACAAGGACAGGGCCACCAGTGCCCTGAGTCACGCAGGTGCATCTTGACAGGGCCACAGCCCAGCCCTAGAGGGAGCCACCGGGCCCGCTAACAAGGCAGACCGCGAGGCAGCTGGCAAGTCCCCCGCACACACCAGTGTGGCACTTGCTTGGCACACCGTGTTTTGCCTTGGGCACAGGGAAGGCTCCACCTGGGTCACATGACCCTGTAGAGAGGCGCTGGGGGTGAGCAGGTTCAGTGAGGACTCACCTTCCCGCCAGTTACAGAGAAATTGGCAAATATGCAGTACTTCTCATTCTTGTGACCAGTGTAAGTCTTCAGGCACTGAAAAGACAGGAAAGGTCCTTAGCACCAGAGCTGCCACACATCCCACAGGCGCAGACATCACACCGCTCAGGAGCTGAGACCTGGATGGCACTGCAAACACACACAGGGCCAGACATCACACCGCTCAGGAGCTTAGACCTGGATGGCACTGCAAACACACTGGTGCAGACATCACACCGCTCAGGAGCTGAGACCTGGATGGCACTGCAAACACACACAGGTGCAGACATCACACCGCTCAGGAGCTGAGACCTGGATGGCACTGCAAACACACAGGCGCAGACATCACACCGCTCAGGAGCTTAGACCTGGATGGCACTGCAAACACACACAGGGCCAGACATCACACCGCTCAGGAGCTGAGACCTGGATGGCACTGCAAACACACACAGGTGCAGACATCACACAGCTCAGGAGCTGAGACCTGGATGGCACTGCAAACACACACAGGTGCAGACATCACACAGCTCAGGAGCTGAGACCTGGATGACACTGCAAACACACACAGGGCCAGACATCACACCGCTCAGGAGCTTAGACCTGGATGACACTGCAAACACACAGGTGCAGACATCACACAGCTCAGGAGCTGAGACCTGGATGGCACTGCAAACACACACAGGTGCAGACATCACACCGCTCAGGAGCTGAGACCTGGATGGCACTGCAAACACACTGGTGCAGAGCCTTGTCAATCCAAGCAGCATCCACAGACCAGTGGCCCATAAAACCTGGGTCTGTCAAACATCTAAACCACAGCAGCTCTGTGAACACCCAGAATCCCTCCTGCTTCAGCCCTGAGGAGTCTGTGGCCCTCACCACCTTGTTCCCCAGGCCAAGCCAGCAGGGCAGAGCTCACCTTCCCCTTGCTGTAGTCCCAGAGTTTCAGTGTGCTGGAAGACAAAGAAGAGGTTGAGGGGCTGCACGTCTGAGCTGTGCCCAGCCTGTTACCACCTCATCGTGGCAATGGTCAGAACCAAGTGAGAGCCCTACCCCAAGGGGGCGCCAGCTCTGACAGAGGTTGGCATCCACCACATGCAGCCACCCTATGCACACAGGAGCAAGAACAAAACTCCAAATCCCTGCAGTTCAAAGGTACTTCTGCAACGAGGCAGCTGAGTTACTACTGTCCCTGGATCAGAGGCCAGTCTCACAGACAAGCTGCAGGGCCAGGGTGGCAGCACACACCGCAATTCCTTCTGCAGCCTTGTGCCTGTCTCACTCCACATGCAACAGCCTCCCCTGCAGTCCCTCGAGGAGCGGGTGGGCCCCCAAACCCAGTCTGCCAGAGCCTAGGCATCCCCACACCCCAGGGAAGTAAGAGCGCTTACTTGTCCAGCGTGGCAGCCAGGATGTATTTGCCATTCGGAGAGAACTTCACGAAGGACACCGGGGGGTTATCGTCATCTGCGCAGGGGACAAGCCACATGACGACCAGAGGCCAGAGAGGCAGCCAGCTCCATCACCCATGCCACCAGTGCCAACCCTTCCCGTCTCGGCCATGCACCAGTCCCTTAGTCACCAGGATGTGAGGAACAAAGGGCCTGAGGCAAGCCACACTAGGACTAGGACCTGACCCTCGTAGGGTGTCCTCAGGTGTGCGCCCATGAGCCTAGGGGCCACCTCATGTGGCATCCTTGCAGATGCCCAAGGATGCTAACATTCTTTCCGGAGCAGCAACAGTGTGGCAGCCGCAGGCATCCACCCACTCTGGAGCTCAGCTCTCACTTCTACTTCTAATGCCCTGACTCTTCAGGCCTTGGGGGACAAGAGGAGGGACAGAGCCAGGCCTGCTGGAAAAGGCGATGCAAAGGCCAGTGTCCAGGCCTGGTGCAATGGGTGAGCCTCACATAGCACGCCCAGGAGGCTGCCCTGGCCAGGTGCGAAGGGAGGGCGTGCCGAGGGCGTTGTGTCTGCCTGTGAGGTTGGAGCACACGCATTACCACCACAGGCGCGCTGGGGGTTCTGCTCCCTCGGGCTGGTCACCCACACTGCAAAAGCACACACGACACAGTGTGAGCTACCGGATGGGTACACGTGCAGCCCACCATGAGGGCTGTGCTCTTCCTTCCTGTGCAGAGAGGATGCTGGGGTGAACCCAAGGTCTGGCTCACAGTAGACAAGAACTCGATCAGTCAGCATCAAGGGTCTTTGTCCCATCACCTCAGCAACACAGCCCTGTCTTGCGTCCTGGCGTCCGTTCCTAGCCCCAAGGGAGGAGAGCCTGGCGGCCCACTGTCGGCAGCCTAGCCCTCACTCCCCCAGCACACAATCTGCAGCAGAGGCACTCAGCCGCCAGCTCCCACCCACACCAGTCAACCGTCCAATCATCTGTCACATCTCCTGGGTTCATCCAACTGCAGACAGAAAACACAGCAAGATGCATCAGGTCACAATCCTAGCTCTCAGGAGGATTACAGCTAAGGATCAAGGTTAAAAGCCAGCCCAGGAGGAAAAGTCCATGAGACTCTTATTGCCAGTTAACCATCAAAAGCTGTGGCTCAAGTGCTAGTCTTGAGCACAAAAGCTCGAAGACAGTGCCTCCAGATCCAGCAAAAAGGGGGAAGGGGATATGAAGGTGCGGTTCAGTTGGTAGAGCCCCAGTCAATGAGCGAAAAGTGTCAGGTACCAAGTTTGAGTCCCCAATCTCAGCCACCTCCCAAAAAATGGCCAAAAAAAATATTCCAACAGAACTTAAGTTACCATAAGGCAAGTAGAAGCTTGAATATGAGTGAAAAGGAGCACTGAGCAGCATGGGCGGCACAGGACTATGGCTGCAGCACTGAGCAGTGCAGAGGAGCGCATGGGACCACAACTGCAGCACTGAGCAGTGCAGGGCAGCACAGGACCACAACTGCAGCACTGAGCAGTGCAGGGGAGCGCAGGACCAAAACTGCAGCACTGAGCAGTGCAGGGGAAGCATGGGACCACAGCCGCAGCACTGAGCAGTGCAGGGGAGTATGGGACCACGGCTGCAGCACTGAGCAGTGCAGGGCAGCACGGGACCACGGCTGCAGCACTGAGCAGTGCAGGGCAGCACGGGACCACGGCTGCAGCACTGAGCAGTGCAGGGCAGCACAGGACCACGGCTGCAGCACTGAGCAGTACAGGGGAGCGCATGGGACCACGGCTGCAGCACTGAGCAGTGCAGGGGAGCGCATGGGACCACAACTGCAGCACTGAGCAGTGCAGGGGAGCACGGGACCACAACTGCAGCACTGAGCAGTGCAGGGCAGCATGGGACCACAGCTGCAGCACTGAGCAGTGCAGGGGAGCACAGGACCACGGCTGCAGCACTGAGCAGTGCAAGGCAGCACGGGACCACGGCTGCAGCACTGAGCAGCATGGGCAGCATGGGACCACGGCTGCAGCACTGAGCAGTGCAGGGGAAGCATGGGACCACGGCTGCAGCACTGAGCAGTGCAGGGCAGCATGGGACCACAGCTGCAGCACTGAGCAGTGCAGGGGAGCACAGGACCATGGCTGCAGCACTGAGCAGTGCAGGGCAGCATGGGATCACAACTGCAGCACTGAGCAGTGCAGGGCAGCACAGGACCACGGCTGCAGCACTGAGCAGTGCAGGGGAGCGCATGGGACCACGGCTGCAGCACTGAGCAGTGCAGGGCAGCACGGGACCACGGCTGCAGCACTGAGCAGTGCAGGGGAGCGCAGGACCAAAACTGCAGCACTGAGCAGTGCAGGGGAGCACAGGACCACGGCTGCAGCACTGAGCAGTGCAGGGCAGCACGGGACCACGGCTGCAGCACTGAGCAGTACAGGGGAAGCATGGGACCACGGCTGCAGCACTGAGCAGTGCAGGGCAGCATGGGATCACAACTGCAGCACTGAGCAGTGCAGGGCAGCACGGGACCACGGCTGCAGCACTGAGCAGTGCAGGGCAGCATGGGATCACAACTGCAGCACTGAGCAGTGCAGGGCAGCACGGGACCACGGCTGCAGCACTGAGCAGTGCAGGGCAGCACAGGACCACGGCTGCAGCACTGAGCAGTGCAGGACAGCACGGGATCACAACTGCAGCACTGAGCAGTGCAGGGCAGCACAGGACCACGGCTGCAGCACTGAGCAGTGCAGGGCAGCACGGGACCACAGCTGCAGCACTGAGCAGTGCAGGGGAACACAGGACCACGGCTGCAGCACTGAGCAGTGCAGGGCAGCACGGGACCACAGCTGCAGCACTGAGCAGTGCAGGGGAGCGCATGGAACCACAGCTGCAGCACTGAGCAGTGCAGGGCAGCACAGGACCACAGCTGCAGCACTGAGCAGTGCAGGGCAGCACAGGACCACCTGCTACAGCTTTGAGCAGCAAGGGGTGGCACAGGCCCACTGGCTGCAGCTCCAAGTCTGCACCCTCCTCAGTACCATTGGTACTGGCCACATGCCCCCTGCTGTCACCAGGCCTAAATAAAAGTAGTGACAGTCTGACAACTGTTACGATCCATCTGGAGACATATAAAGCACACAAGAGTGTGCTCAAACACCACACCATCTTCTAAGAGTTCTTCAGTATCCATGGAAGGTCCTGGAGCCAAAGGGATGACTGGCACATTGGGTGACTGACTTGTTAGCCTGCAGGTGCCCACCCTGTAAAGCCAGGACATACCTATGGGGAGGGGGGTAGGAACCTTGGTGCTCATTACCACAGTCCTAACACCTGCCACAGGCCACCAGGAAGGACTGTCCTAGAGACAGAGCTGGGTGCCACTCTGGGAGGAAGACACCCGACCCTAGGATTCCACTAGGGAAGCTGGGGTGCAGTAGGCTTCCCACAGGTACAGCACAAGGTCATGGTTCCAGCTCAGTCCCAGCAGGTGACCATACTGAGGCTGCCTCCTCCATTTGTCCTTAGAAGAGAAGCCAGACACAGACAGGGAAAAGATGGCGTCTTCAAGGCAAGGACAGCCAAGAAGCAGCAATCTGCTAGACCAACCTGGATGTCCACACTTGTTACCAAAGTCTAGGAAAGCAAAAGAGCCAGAGGCACTGCCCCCCTGGTGGACCCACCTCCCTTCCCCACCCCTACTCCAAGTCAGGCCAGTCCTTTCCATTCTGACCTGAGGTTCCCATGCTTCAGGCTGGCACATAAGGACCAGTCTCTTCAACATCAACCCCTTCCAAGTCCCACTACCTCAACCCCTGACCCCTGACCTGCCTGCACGAGCCATGCCAGTCCTCCTCCTTCCTCACCTCATCCCTGCACTCCTATTCCCAGACTTTGTATCCACCTCCCTAACACCGAGGACAGTGACCAGGAGTGGCCAGGGGGTGGCCAGGGACTGACAAGAACAGGTAGAGAGTCCATGGCCCAAAGTCGCCACAGAGTAACCCCAGATAGACAGCCCAGGCCATGGGCCCAAAGAGCAGAAAGAAGACCTGGCAGCAGTTCCACAAAGGAATGACAGAGCTCTTTACAGATATGGGGGCTCAGGTAGAAGCGGGGGGGGGGGGGGGGGGGGGGGTAAGGGGGGGAAGGATGGTCCAGTGGAGAGGAGGCCTCCAAAGGCACCAGGACCAAGACAAAAAGGCAGGCTGAGCTCAGGAGAACAGAAGGCTCCAGAAGAACCACTGCAAGCACAGACAGTGAACACCTTGGGAGAAAGGCCTCCCTGGCAGGCCTGAGCAGACACTGAGCCCGGAGCCAACCCCATGTGGCATGGAGCACTCACCGATGAGTGTCTTCAGACACTGGCCCGACGCGGTGTCCCAGATGCGGCTTCAAAGCAAGAACAAAAACGAAACATGAGAGAGCCAATGGCTGCACCGCCGGTGACAGTCCTCATCTTCCGGCACCATCGTCCTCCACCGTCAGGACAGAGGCGAGTCCTGGGCCTGCAACTGGTCTTCGGCTGTCAGCCTGCACCCCAGCCAGGGACAAAGGCAAAGGTGTCCCACCCCTCCTCCACAAGGGAGCAAGCAGGCCTACCATGTCACCAGCCCCCAGGTGGGTGGGCGACACACCCTGGCAAAGGCCTTGCAGCTCTGCCTCCTCCACAGCATACAGTCCACGGGCAGAATCAGCTTCCTTAAACCCGAGGCTGGATTCAATTTCCTGAACAGCCCATTAGTTAAGCAGTGAGATGGCTCATGCCTGTAACGCTAGCTGAGAAGGCTGAGATCTGAGGATCAAGGTTTGAAACCAGACCAGGAAGGAAAAAAGTGACTGTTATCGCCAATTAACTACTCAGAAAAAGCCAGAAGTGGCACTGCAACTCAAGTGTTAGAGCACTAACCTTGAACAAAAAGCTCAGGCCCTGAAATCAAGCCCCAGGACTAGCACAAAAAAAAGGAAAAAAAAAAAAAAATCCTTAAAGATTGGGACTCTGGAACAGACAAGCTATCCTGCTACCAGCCCAGTTCCAGGGTTTCTGAGACTCCTGCCCAACGCATGCACATAGTGCAAACATGCCTGCCTACACTGCCAGCCCCCACCTGCCATGGCGGACTCCCACTTGTGTACCTGGCCCAAGCTGGGCCTCACCAGTGCCCAGGGTGTTAATTCATGTCTGCCTGCTGTGGCGTGGCCCCCATCACCGCAAGGGACCCAGTACTGGACTTCAGCACTGCCTTTGAACTACGTGCCCAGCCTCTCCCAGGCCTCCTTCCCCCTCCTTTCCTTAATTCTCCTGGCACTCAATTCAAATGTTCCATGATAGATTTTGTTTTGGCACAGAGGCAATCTGCTTTCTCGGCCTCTCCAGTAGGGTTTTATTCTCTTTATACTCTCTTCTGCCTTACAGAACTGACCCCCCCCCCCCCCAACTTCCCCTCCCCTAACTGCCCGCTGTCCTCAGCGGGACATCATTGCACTCACTGCATCCTGCTCTCCTGAACCTGCTCCTGATCATCCCGGTACAGGCCATCCTATGAGACCTTAACCCCACTTCTAGCACAGAAAAAGGGGACTGATCTCTGGTGCAGCTGGTACAGCCTATGGCTGAACCAGGGCTCTACAACTCACACAGGCTGGACCCTGGCCTGTCACCAGCTGAGGGACAACTGGCAGCTATTTATCCAGCTCCCCAAGAGAAAGTAAGGATGGGGCTGGGAATCAGTGTTAAATTGCTTGCTTCACATGCATGAGGCCCTGGGTTCGAGTCCTCAGTACCACATAAGCAGAAAAAGCCAGAAGTGGTGCTGTGGCTCAAGTGGTATAGCACTAGCCTTGAGCTGAAGAGCTGAAGGACCAGTGCCCAGGCCCAGAGTCCAAGCCCCACAACTGACCAAAATAGTAAGGATGACAAGAATCATAGACATGTCACCGAGTTAAGTGGGCACAGCACCACACTGGTGCTTTTTGTTTTTGGATTTTTGGTGCCCTCAACTGGGGCTTGGTCACAGGGCCTAGGAGCTGTCTGGGCTTCTTCCCTCAAGACCAGCATCCAATCACTTGAGCTACAGCTCCATTTCTGGTTTTGCAGTGGTTAAGTGTATAAAAGAGTCTCACAGGGCTGGGAAGGTGGCTCAGTGGTAGAGCGCTTGCCTTGCATGCATGAGGCCCTGGGTTCAATTCCTCAGCACCACATAAGCAAAAAGAAAAAAGCCAGAAGTGGTGCTGTGGCTCAAGTGGTAGAGCGCTAGCCTTGAGCTGAAGAGCTGAGGGACAGCGTCTAGGCCCAGAGTTCAGGCCCCACAAACGGACCCAAAAAAAAAGTCTCACTTTCCTCTTCAAGCCTGCTTCAAACTGTGATCCTAGTATCTCAGCCTCCAGAATAGCAAGGATTACAGGTGTGAACCACCGGCACCTAGCCCAGCTTGTTTTTAGAATTTTTTTTTTTTGTTGGTCATGGGACTTGAACTCTGGGCTTGAGCTCTACCACTTGAGCCACAGTGCCACTTCCCCAGCTTGTTTTTAAAAACCTAAAAATGTGTGTCTACAGAGATCCATCTGCCCACCTTGTTGAGTAACCACAAGCATGACTGTGGAATGGCCATGCTCACTGTGATCTGTACTTGGCAGGTAGTTTTAGCGAGTCTCTGCGTATTATGGGAGTCTGAGTTCACACAACTGCTGGCACCACTGGCCTATCCTACGGAGAGTAAGATCAGCTGCCGTATTATTACTCCATCAGGTGCCCTCTGATCTCTACTAGAGATAAGCCCTATGGGTCTCCCTTGAATTTGCTGACACAAAGCCATCAGTTTCCTGAGGTTGGCACTATCCCAGTCCTTTCACTGATCAGACTTGCTTAGTCGTGGAATCTCTATTTGATGCACTGCTGGACACAGCATCCGGGTATTTTCTGTGGGATTCTGGCATCGATGTTCACTCAGGAGCTGCCTTTGAGCTCCAGGCCACAATCAGGGGGAACACGTTAATCTAGACCTGTAAGATGGGTCTGGAAGACCTTACCTTCTATGATCTGGAGACATCTAGTAGCCTTACAAGTTTGTTATTTGATTGAAGGTACAGGACCGGGAAGTGCAATAGCCCTTTCTACCTGACACTTCCTCAGGGCTCCTTTGTGATGAGCTCTCCCCATTCCCTTTCCTGGGCCATTTTGGGTGACAACCTGTCCCTTGAGCCAAGGACACTGCTGGGGAGGACAGGGCCTTCCCCATAACTGTGGCCTCTCCCTTGATCTCCACTCAGGCTATTTTGTTTCTTAAATTGGCTTCCAATTCCTGATCTTCCCAAATAAACTTTATAAAAGATTTTTATTTCCTTCCCCACGTCTCCATCTTTTAGCTTTGTAAGTCCTTCCTACTAGCCTCTCTGGTATACTGTTTCTATGTTGTGGGAAGGTTCTTCAAAGCCAAGTCCACACGCGATTCACAAACTGTCCCAGTCTTTACAGACACTAGCGTCTGTTCTACGCTTTGTCGAGGTGCTAGGAGTGTGGCACCCAAAAAGTATCCAGGTACTCTGCAGCCCGTAGGTCTCATCTGCCTGCCATTACTAGTGCACCGGCCGACATTTGCACGTGGCTATGGCTTCATCCTTGGGTGCTACTGGCCCAGACAGCCTTCCAGATGCCATTACCATGCCGCACCGGCAAAGGCAGGCACAGCCTACAGGACCCATCCAGACTCAGGATGGGAAAACCGTGCTGCTTTCAGCCTGGACTTCCACCTGAGGTCCCCACAGCAGTGACAGTGCCGGTACAGAGCACACAGGCAGACAGGGAGTCAAGCAAAGCTCTTCAGGTGCTTAAATTCTGCAGAACTGGATTTAATCAAGTTTGTCCCCCACCAAAAAAAGGGAAGAAAACATATTGAGCCCTAAGACTACACAAAGCAAGCCCCGAGTTAAAGCAATGCCAAAAAAGACAACGCATGTGCTCTGTGGTACACTTGCCCAGAACCACCAAAAGACATTTTTTTTAAATTTTCCCCTTTCTAGATTTTGTCTCCAATCCTCCTGTCGCTTGGTCATCAATCCACCAGCCCTCTGGCCTGCTGTCAACTCCAGTCCCAGGCCACTTCTTTCTGCAGGGGGCGGGGTAGTCACACTGAGGACCCAGGAAGATCCTGCTCATGTCTTTCCAATCACCTCATTTCAGGTGCTTCTTAAAGGATCATGGAGTCGGGCTGGGAAGGTGGCTCAGTGGTAGAGCGCTTGCCTTGCATGCATGAGGCCCTGGGTTCAATTCCTCAGCACCACATAAGCAAAAAGAAAAAAGCCGGAAGTGGCGCTGTGGCTCAAGTGGTAGAGCGCTAGCCCTGAGCTGAAGAGCTGAGGGACAGCGTCCAGGCCCAGAGTTCAGGCCCCATGACCGGACCCAAAAAAAAAAAAAGGATCATGGAGTCACAGCAGTGTTTAAACCAAGCTTGGTGTATTCAGTTTATCTATGGCTCCTGCCATGGCTCAGACCCTGCTTTAATTTCCCCCGTTACTCTGGGAAGTCCTACCTGGCTCAATCCAATGGTACCACTGTCCCCCTTAGCCTCACCAACCACTGTGGAAGTTACGAAGCCACCATCCCCAAGCCCAGAATGCAACTCCAGAGCTTTTACTGCTACCCCTACCTACCAGTTACCACAGACGCCCACGTCCACACTTCCCGTTTCCCGAAGCCCTGGGCACCTCCACCAAAACCATCTCCAGCAAGGCCTCGCCCACTCAGCCTAACTCCAAGGTCTATAGAGCCCACAGCCTTGCTCCTCCTCCCTTCATTCACCCATCTGCAACCCACTGGGGCATATGCTTCTGGAAGGTGAAGGCCATGTCCCCTGCCCACTGCACCCTGGAGCTAGAATGGACCAGCAGCAGGCCTTGAATGAAGTAAGATTTTTCTCATTTGGCCAAGGCCCTGTAGCTCATGCCTGTAATCCTAGCTACTCGGGAGGCTGAAATCTGAGGATCACGGTTCAAAACCAGCCTGGGCAGGAAAAGTCCTTGAGACTCTTATCTCCAATAAACTACCAGGGGGAAAAAAAAAAAACAGAAATGGAGCTATGCGTCAGGTGGTAGGATCACTCGTCTTGAGCTGAAGAGCTGAGGGACAGCGCTCAGGCCCAGAGTTCAAACCCCACAACCAGCCAAAAAAAAAAAAAGTACTTACCAGAGACCGTCATAACTACTTGAAACTATCAAGGATCCATCTCGATTAAAATGAACCTAAAAATTCAAAATTCAGAGAGGAATAAAGAGAAGCTTACTTCTCAGCCGGGAACACATGGCTTCTCACCCCAATGCCCTTCTGCCGAGAGCGGATGGCATGCAACAACAACGGATCATTGCGCGGATGCACTAACAGGATGGCTGTGGTTACGTGATGTCTCATGGGTTTTTTGTTTTGTGTGTGTGTGTGTGTGTGTGTGTGTGTGTGTGTGTGAGAGAGAGAGAGAGAGAGAGAGAGAGAGAGGGAGGGAGAGAGAGGGAGAGAGAGAGAGGGAGGGAGGGAGGAAGGGAGAGGGAGGAAGGGAGAGAGAGGAAGGGAGAGGGGGGGGAGAGGGGGGAGGGGGGGGAGAGAAAAGGAGGGGAGAGAGGGGAGAGGGGGGAGAGGGGGGAGAAGAGGGGGGGAGAGAAAGAGAGACAGAGACAGTCCCAAGTCTTGAACATGGGGCCTGGGTGTTGTCTGAGCATTTTTGCTCAATGCTAGCTCTTGACCACTTGAGCCACACCTCCACTTCTGGCTTTTTCCTTTTTCTGGTGGTTAACTGCCCAGCTGGGTGCAAACCTCCATCTTCAAATCAGAGCCTCCTGAGTAGCTGAGATTACAGGCATGAGCCGCCAGCACCTGGTTCTTTGTTTTTACTGCGTGGTGTACACTGAGCACGAAGCACTCTGGGGACTCCCTCCCAGCACCCACTGTTCTCACCAACAAGTCACTGCCTCAGCCCCAGTCATCAACCAAAGCTACTCCACTCAACATTCACCTCACCTGTGGTCACACTCCCATTCCCTTCACCAGAGAACCTCTCAGGAGACCACCTCCGAAATCCCTAGCCTACCTTCCTGCTCAGCCCCACATAAGGCTCTCAGTGCTCACCACAGGCACCCCGTCCACCCACTCTCCACGGTATACAGGACTGAGAGGTCTCACGGCACCAACCTCTAGGCACCTAAAGAATCACCCGGACACAGCAAGCACGTCAGAGGCCCACAATGCATGGCAGAAACTTACGGCTGACACTGGATCTGAATGAGCAGGCAAAGTCTTGAGGCACTTCCCAGTCTTCACGTCCCATATCCTCACACTTTCATCAAACTACGTGAGAGGGGATGAAAATCATTCCAGACCTCAAACCCAGCCCCACCTCCACCCATGCTGAGCATGGCTGTGACCTACCACAGCGCCCCCAGAGGAGAGACCATGTACTTACAGACCCTGAGACGATGAGGTTGGACTGGGGGTTGAAGTTGCAGCAGAAGACATAGTTGCTGTGCCCCTTCAGGGTCTTCAGACACTTTCCCTAGAGCACAGCAGGGTCAGGCCACCTGCTCCCAGCCCCAGCTGACTACTTCCTGCCCTTCCTTAGCTACAGGAGCCTCCCTGGGAAAGGACCAATGCCTTACCGAGCTCACATCCCATATCTTCAACGTTTTGTCATCAGAGGCAGACACAAGGAGGTTAGAATCCGACGACCAGGCTACATCAGATATTCCCTTGGGAAGGGGGGGAAAAAAAAGCTACTGTATTTTGGGACAAAATTGAACTGATTGATAAAGGGCCAAAATCCCATAGCGGGGAATCAGGGGCTATCCAATCTTAGCTATTCAGGAGGCTGAGATCTGAGGATTGTGATTCAAAGCCTCTAGGCAGGAAAGCCTGTGAGACTCTTATCTCCAGTGTAAAAAAGCTGGAAGTAGGGCTGGGAAGGTGGCTCAGTGGTAGAGCGCTTGCCTTGCATGCCTGAGGCCCTGAGTTCGATTCCTCAGCACCATATAAGCAAAAAGAAAAAAGCCAGAAGTGGCGCTGTGGCTCAAGTGGTAGAGTGCTAGCCTTGAGCTGAAGAGCTGAGGGACAGCGCCCAGGCCCAGAGTTCAGGCCCCACGACCGAACCAAAAAAAAAAAAAAAAAAAAAGCTGGAAGTAGAGCTGTGGCTCAAGTGATAAAGCACTAGCCTGAAACACCAAGGCCTTGACTTCCAGCCCCAGAACTGGCAAGAGGGGAGGGGAGGGGAGGGGAGGGGAGGGGAGGGGAGGGGAGGGGAGGGGAGGGGAGGGGAGGGGAGGGGAGGGGAGGGGAGGGGAGGGGAGGGGAGGGGAGGGGAGGGGAGGGGAGGGGAGGGGAGGGGAGGGGAGGGGAGGGGAGGATCCCAAACACATGCCAGGCCCCCGGCAAATCGTCTGGCCAGCATTAACTCAGAAGATGCACACTCAGGGTACAGGCGTAAGCCATTCTCGGGAGCTCTGCCAGATGGCAGAGATGGCCATATGCACACCTGTAGCAATCCAAGGTGCCTTCACTAAAAACCAATCTTGCCTCGTTGCCCTGCACAACAGCCAGGACTTCTCATGCAGGAACCTACCAGCTTGTGACCAGATATGGTTTTCTCAAACTTTCCATCGTAGGCTCCCCAAATTTTAATGAGTTTATCGGCAGCTGAAAGAAATAAAAAGAGCTAAGGCTCAGAGAAGAAAAACAACTGTGCAGGACTGAGCTTCCCTGCTGAGCCTAAAACCAACACCGATGCTCCCACACTGAGCCTGGCCTTGAGTGGGGAAAGGCTGGAGTCTCAGCCCTCAGCTCCCAGGAGCAATGGGTACACTCTCAGGCCACACTAGCTCTGCAGAGAACATGTAGCACACTACAGGACCCCATGGCAGACTAACAAAGCTACATAACCCACCCATACGCACTCAGAGGACCCATACGCACACGAGCTTGCCAGCCACTCTCCATTCGGGCTGAATTTCACAGAGGACACAGCTTTGGTGTGGCCAGCCAGAGTGAATTTTAGTGCATAGTTGGGTTTAACAGGTGTAGGCTGTTGGAGAAATAGTACAACCTGAGTTAGCTAAATGTAAACACCACAGTCCCATTCATTCAGTCAGTCAGCTGACTTGATTCCCAAAGTTTAACTCAGCCTTCAAACTGACTGCACCTGAGTGCGATGTGAGGCAAGTCCCCACCTCAGCACCCCAACTCCATCATCCAAGCTGGACGTCAAAGCCCCCACAACACCTGGCACTGCTGAGCTGTGCCCCTTCCACCTCCACAAAGCCATTTGAAGCCAGGGCTCCCCCTGTTTAAAAGCTCCTGGTTGCCTGGAAAGGAGTCTGCATACCTACCAATCCCACAACTGTGGGACTTGTCCAGATTTGGGTCTCACAAACTTTTACAATCTTCATCAAGAACCTGTGTATTTTTATGCCCCACCCCTTCCATCTAAGTGACAGATTTGAGAATTCCTATCATTACATCATGAGATCAGTAATACAACTGGTAACATATTTAACTGAGCACCAATAGTCCTGGATTCCTTAAAGCCTGTTTGGCCAGAGGGGCCCAAGGAGCCCAGGTGCGCACCTTGCTCTGGGTGGCCGATGAGGAAGGAGTGGGTTGTGCTCTTGCAGCTTCTGTCTCTGGCTTCTTCTCCTCAGTGGCCATGGCTCAGAAGCCCACGGGCAGAAGCTGTGGATGGGATTCACACAGCAAGAGGCTGTCTGCTAGTCCAGCCCTACAGTGGAAAGACCTATAAACAAATCATTTATTGTAAAAAAATTAGAAGACTGCCGGGCGCCGGTGGCTCACCCCTGTAATCCCAGCTACTCGGGAGGCTGAGATCTGAGGATCTCGGTTCAAAGCCAGCCTGGGCAGGAAAGTCCCTGAGACTTTTATCTCCAATAAACTACCAGAAAACCGGAAGTGGCGCTGTGGCTCAAGAGGCAGAGCGCTCGCCTGGAGCTGAAGAGCTGAGGGACAGCGCCCAGGCCCAGAGTTCAAGCCCCATGACCAACCATAAAAAAAAAAAAATAAAAAAAAATAGAAGATTGTCAGGGCTGGGGGAGGTGTGACTTGCTAGCATGTAAGAAGCCCTGGATCTGAGCCTCAGCAGCACAAAAAAAAAATTTTCTATAATTTCATGAAAAGGGATAAAAAGAGAACCATGCGGGCTGGGAAGGCGGCTCAGTGGTAGAGTGCTTGCCTCACATGCATGAGACCCTGGGTTCGATTCCTCAGCACCACATAAGCAGGAAAAGCAGGAAGCTACACTGTGACTCAAGTGGTAGAGCGCTAGCCTTGAGCTGAAGAGCTGAGACACAGTGCCCAGGCCCAGAGTTCAGGCCCACAACCAACAAAAGAGAAAGAGAGACAGAGAGACAGAGACAGACAAGACCATTCAGCCACCATATTGAGCTCTACATACAGCAAGCAATGTGCTGTTCCAAACTGGGGAATCTAGCCATTATCCTCACTCCAGGCTAATATTTTTCACTCGCTCTGCTGCTTGTGCCCCTTGAAATCCCAAGGAAGACCACTCTTGAGGAGGCTTGCTACTGTGTTATGCCAAGTGAAGCAGAGGGAGCTTCAAGGTGGCATCTGGAAGCTTATCCAAATGTCCTCTTATCTACAACACAGAGCATGCACCCAGCTGCTGCCTCACAGGCTGCAGATCATGGCCACCTTCTAGGCCACCAGTGCAGTGCTAAGATCTGCAGCAGCAAACCAGAGGGCTCTCCCTCTCTCCCCCTCTGGAGGTTCCCTGCTGACTGTAGAAACAGTCCAGAGTATAATGCTGAAACTCTACAATTGAAAATGCAGCTTAGTCTAGTTTGGGCTTCATGAGGTATAGCCCCAAGCCATGAGCAACAGTAACCCCCATCCTAGTGACCGACAGATGCTGCTACTCCAATGCAGCTCACAAAGCACACAGGTGACTCTGAAATGGGGAGTTTATTAAAGAGAGCCACCTTGTAAATGTCACTAGTCACCCCAGCCATTAACCTAGTGAGCCAGTACCCTGTAAATTCTAGCTTAGAGCTTAAAACTGAAATCTTGCCAGGCTCCACATAACACAAAGGTAAAATGGATGCCATCAAAAGGAATCTGTCAGCCAGTGCCAGTGGCTCCTGTCTCTAATCCTAGCTAGTCAGGAGACTAAGATCTGAGGATCTCCATTCAAAGCCAGCCTAGAGCAGCAAAATCCATGAGCCTTATCTCCAAATAACTACTCAGAAAAAGCCAGAAATGGCATTGTGGCTCCAGTGGTAGAGCAAAGAGGTTCAGGCCCAGGCCCAGGTCCTGAGTTCAAGCCCGAGAACAGGGGAGGGGAGGAAGGGCTTGTCCAAGCCAGACAAGCTCACCCCTATTCTCCTAGTTACTCAGGAGGCTGAGATTGCAATTTGAAGCCAGCCAGGGTAGAAAAGTCTGTGAGACTCTTACCTCTAACTACCAAAAAGCCAGAAGTGGAGCATGAGCCTTGGGTTTGGTGTTTTTTTTTTTTTTTTGGTCAGTCATGGGCCTGAACTCTGGGCCTGGGTGCTGTTCCTCAGCTCTTCAGCTCAAGGCTAGTGCTCTACCACTTGAGCCACAGCACCACTTCTGGCTTTTTCTGCTTATGTGGTGCTAAGGAATTGAACCCAGGGCCTCAAGCGTGCAAGGCAAGCACTCCACCACTGAGCCACCTTCCCAGCCCCGAGCCTTGGGCTTTTAAACCAACAAAAAACCAGAAGTAGAGCTGTGGCTCAAAGTGGTAGAGCGTAGTCCTTGAAAAGAAAAAAAACTAAGGGACAGAATCTAGGCCTTGAGTTCAAGTCCCAGGACCCACAAAATTGTCTTCACTTTCTGCCAAAGGAGAGTTGTTTTGCTGAAGGGGAGGATCTAAGGGATTTAACTCCTTCCAGCACTAGAAGGTGGTGAACACCAACAAGAAGCCCAGGGGTGGCGGGGAGGGGGGAGCAAAACATTAAAAACCTACTCCACAGGGTGGGCCCCAAGGTCTTGAACCCTGGGGTGGAAATGCGAGTGGGGGAGAGGAGGAGAGGGCCTTGGAGCAAAGGTTTCCCGTAGCAGGGAAGGGTGCACCGCAGGTATACTTCGGGGCTTGGGAAGGAAAAATGAGGAGCAGGAGGCAGGCCAAGTGACTTGGCTTTGGCCCCCACAGTTTCTCCCCTAGCGAGCCTAGTCAGTGAAGGCCCAGCAATCAGCCCTTCATGCGCTCGGCCTTGGGCCAGATGCAGATTCCAGGGCTCCAGGTGCGAGGAGACAGAAGGCAATGTAAACGGGCACTGTAGGCGACGGGAGGCGCAGAGGGCCGGGGACCCAGCCGGGGCCCCGCCGTCCTAGACACCTGACTGGATCCCGGGGCTCCCCTGCAGCCTTCCCGAGGGGGAAGCTCCCGGAGGACACCTTCCCCAGGCCCGGCCCGCAAACCTTTAACCGGGGGGACAGGTAGAACCGGCGGAGGACGCGTGAGGGGCGTGCGGGCAGCGCCCAAGATGGCTCTCGCGGACCAGGGCGGAGGGGCTGACAGGACCCCTCCGGGGCGACACGGGAAGGGGCTGGCGGCCGGCGAGGCGCCGCGGGGCGGGGGCGCCCCACCAGGCCCGGGAGCGGGGCAGGGGGCGCCCGGGCCGCAGAGGCGGAGGGCTGGGCCGGGCTCTGGGCCGCCGGGGCCGGCGGAGGCCGAGGCGCGGACGGCGCGGGCGCGCGGCGGCCACGAGGGGGTCGGCGGCCGGGACGGGGCGCGGCCGCAGCGGGCCCGGCCTCAGGCCCGCGGCACACGTGCGGCGGCCCGGGAGCGCGGAGCCCGCCCGCCCTCCCCGCGGCCGCGGGGCCGCACCGCTCACCCACCTGCAGGGCCGCGGCGGCGGAGCCGGGCGCGCGGAGTCGCGCTGGTCGCCCCGGGGCGCGGGCGCCGACGAGCTGCGGGACTCGGCGGCGGCGGCGGCGCGCAGGCGCGGGGGCGGGGCCGCGCCGGGGGCGGGGCGACGGCGGGCGGCAAGGGTCAGAAAGTAAGGGGAGGCGCAACGCCTTAAAGGGACAGGCGGCCACGGCTCCGACTTCCGGCTCGTGGGCCCTCCTCTGGGGCTGGGTGGCTGCCGGCGGTCCTCCCGCGCCCTGCGTTTGTGTGCTTCCAGCAAAACGCGCGGGAACGCGCCAGTTTGCCCACCGCGTGATCGCCAGCGGCTTTCCCCCCGCCGACGGTTAGGGCGTGGCCGCTCTGGCCGGTCCCTCTGCCGAGCCGCCGAGGGCTTGGCACCCACGACGGAGGGCGCCGCCCCTGGGCCCCCGCGGGGCCCCGAGTCCCTCGCGGCGGCCGCACCCGCGCTTCCCGCCCGGGCGCCACGGCCCCGGTGGCCGCTGGGCCTGCGCCCCGGCCGGAGAAGGGTCGCCTTGTGCACCATTTTCAAACTCAGAAAAAAAAAAAAGATCTCATGAGATTCTTAGGATTGCAATGTAGGGTTGGGGCCGGAGAGCTCCGCCATCGCGGTCCCGAAGCGGGGCGGAGGAGAGGACAGCGACCAGGTGTACATGTCCCTAATACAGGAGCTCGGCGCGCATCCAGGCTGGCAGCTTGAGGTGAGGCCCTCCGAGGGTGGGAGTGAGCCGGCCTCACGGTCCAGCAGCCGCCCCAGAGGACCGGAGCCCCCCGCCCATAAGGCCCCCGGCTCCATCTGGGAAGCTCTTTCCTGTCATCTGGACAAAGCCCTCCGAGGAAGTCCCCAGAGCCCCCATCTCTATGGAAAACAGGGCTATCAGCTTCAGGAAGTGGTCACTGAAAAGAGTTGTAGCAGCTGGTGCTAAAGGTTGGCTCGTGCCTGTAATCCTAGCTACTCAGGAGGCTGCGATCTGAAGATCACAGTTCAAAGCCAGCCTGGGCAGGAAAGTGTGAGACTCTTACCAATAAGCCAGAAGTGGAAGAGGTGTGTCTCAAGTGGTAGAGGGGTAGCCTTGAGGGATAATCTAAGGGACAATGCCTAGGCCCTGAGTTCAAGTACTAATGTAAGCGCACACACTCACACACAATGTTGAATAGTAAAGGAAAGCAAGAGAAAGGCTTGTGGAAACCCAGATGTGAGTGTAGGCACATCTGGTTGGATTTATAGTGAAAGATAGGTTAAGGGTTTCTATTCAGCCCTGTCTGAAAAATTGCTTTTCTTTATTCTAAGCACAGGTATGCTCTGGACTGTTAGATAACAAGTCTGGTCACTTTGTAATAAATTCGTATTATTCTGTACTGTTTGAGCATTCCTTTAAAACAAGGGATGCTTTTACCAAATGCCCTGTTTTTGTTTTCTTCTTCTTGTTCCTGGAACTTGGACTCAGGGCCTGGATGCTTTTTGCTCAAGGCTAGCACTCTACCACTAGGAGCCACAACTCCACTTCCAGTTTTCTGGTGGTTAATTAGAGTCTCAAGGTCCAGCTGGCTTTGAATCTCAATCCTCAACTCTCAGCCCCATGAGTAGCTAGGATTAAGGCATGAGCTACCAACACCAAGCCAAATGCCCTGTTTATTTTTTTCTTTCTTCCTTCCCTTCTTTTTTTTTTCTGTTTTCTTTGTTGTTGTTGTTGTCAGTCATGGGGCTTGAACTCAGGGCCTGGTTGCTGTCTCCAAGCTCCTTTGCTCAAGGCTCTACCCACTTTGAGCCACAGCTCCACTTCCAGTTTTTGAGTGGTTAATTGGAGATAAGAGACTCTTGAGGACTTTTCTGCTGGGCTTGGTTTGAACCACCATCCTCAGACCTCAGCCTCCTGAGTAGCTAGGATTACAGGCGTCAGCCACCAGAGCCTCCCTATTTCTGTTCTGTTTTAGCAGTATTGTGAATGCCTGGCCTTATGATAATAAGGCAGATATACTAACTCAATAGCTTCTTTCAAGCCAGGTGTATATACTTGATATGAATTCTTTTTTTTTTTCTGCAAAATGTTGTATATTTTAAAAGTCATAGTCTACGCTCCCCCCCCCCCCCCCCCCCCCCCACACACCACACACACACAGTGTCTTTCTCTAAGATACGGTTGCTCAGTTCTCAAGGCTTAGTAACCATTTGGGCAATTGAATAAGGTCAAGAGCTACTTTAAAACAAACAAGCTGTATCCTGCCCATGTAATTGTAACCCCTCTGTACAGTATGTTCACAAATAAAATTAAATAAATTAGAAAATAAATAAATAAAACAAGCTGGCGCCCGTGGCTCACGCCTGTCATCCTAGCTGGGTGCCCGTGGCTCACGCCTGTCATCCTAGCTACTCGGGAGGCTGAGATCCAAGGGTCAGATCACAGTGCAAAGCCAGCCTGGGGAGGAAGTCCATAAGACTCTTAAGTCAGTCTTAGGGCTTGAACTCTAGGCCTGGGCACTGTCCCTCAGCTCTTGAGCTCAAGGCAAGCATTCTACCACTTGAGCCACTTCCAGTCTTCTGATGGTTTACTGCAGATAAGAGTCTCACAGATTCTCCTGCCCGGGCTGGCTTTGAACCACAATCCTCATATCTCAGCCTTCTAGTAGCTAGGATTATAAGCATGAGCAACCAGCGTCTGGTTCCATGAGACTCCTGTCTCCAATTAACCACCAGAAAACCTGAAGTGGTGCTGTGGCTCAAGTGATAGAACGCTCACCTTGAACTAAAGAGCTCAGGGACAGTGCTCAGGCCCAGAGTTCAAGCCCCGTGATACATATATGTGTTGCAGTTTAGTGATGGAATTTGAAGTTTGAGGCAAATACCTTTAAGAAAGCTCTTCACTGATACACTGTTATTTGTTTGTTTTGTCTGTCTTTTTTTTTTTTTTTTGATCGGTCATGACACTTGAACTCTGGGCTTGGGCGCTGTCCCTGCACTCTTCAGGTCAAGGCAAGCGCTCTACCACTTGAGCCACAGCGCCACTTCCAGTTTTCTAGTGGTTTATTGGAGAGAAGAGTCTTACAGACTTTGTTTTGCCTGTCTTGAGGCTTGAGTTTGCCTGGCTCAGCCAGTGTTCTACCACTTGAGCCACACCTCCAGTCCAGCTATTTTGCTAGTTCAATTAGAGATAGACTTTTCTAAGCCAGAAGTGGTGCTGTGGCTCAAGTGGTAGAGCGCTAGCCCTGAGCTGAAGAGCTGAGGGACAGCGCCCAGGCCCAGAGTTCTGGCCCATGATTGGCAAAAAAAAAAAAAAAAAAGAGAGAGAGAGAGAGAGAGATAGACTTTTCTGCCCAAACTGGCTAGGGCAATCACACCCAAAAGCCAGAAATGGAGATGCTGCTCAAAAAGTAGAGGGCTAATCTTGAGGAAAAAAAGAAAAGAAAAACCTTCAGGACAGCACTCAGGCGCTGATTTCAAGCCCAGTACCACTGCAAAAAAATAAATAATAAATTTCTAGAAAGTTCCTCCCAAAACCTAAGGCCAGGCAGGGCTAGGAAAGTGGCTTAGTGGTAGAAAGCTTGCCTAGCATGCATGAAGCCCTGGGTTCCATTGCTTGATAACCACATAAAAAGATAAATAAAAAAATGTTTTTAATGCCAGGCAGTGCTGAGTCACCTGTGCAGCTTGCAGCTCCATTGGCAGCCTCCTTAGGGAGCCGCCAGCAAACAGCCTCCACCAGGGCTTGCTTTCTGCCATGACCCCTGGAGGAGTGAGTCCAGTTGTGTTTCCCCAGCCTCCGCACCTCCCCCCCCCACCTCTGCTAGGGAAGCACCCCTCTTTGATTGGCACTCTTGTCAGTATCACTGGGCTGGCCGAAATGGACAGGGCTCCTCTCACCCTGTGCACTGTGCAGTTGGCACAGGACGGGGAGGGGACGTTTGTTGATCACTGAGCATTGTGCACCAGATCCTATATTACTAGCCCACCTCTACCTGGCCCCGCAGGACATCCTGAGGCCCACCAACCCAGGCAATGGATTTCATGTAAGTTCCTTTCCCCTAATAGCTCTGCCAGCAGCTCTCCGTTTGGGGTGTTTGGCTGCCAGGGTACTCAGGTCCTGTTACCCTCCTCTTGTCAGCCCTGGGTTCCACAGGAAGGACTGCCTTTGTTCTAAATGTGGGTTGTGCAGCTGCTTCCCAGTGTCCCCAAGTCCCCGTCCCTTTGTTGCTCCCCTTGTCCCCAGCCTCCGCACCCTCCTGTGTGCCTCCTTCTAAGGTGACTGCTCTAGGCGGCCTCGTCCAGGATGGCCACAACCCAGATAACCGGCACGCTCGCTCCCTGCTCTGAAGGGAAGGAAGGCACTGCCCAGACCACCTCACTGCACAGAAGCACAACTTTCCCTGCTGGTATGGGGGAGCCCCCTGCAGATCTACCACTCCAGCAGGGACTCCTGGGGTCCCCTGGCGCACCCACCACTCTGGCAGGGACTTGTGAGCAGCCTGGGCATGGGCATGAGCACCCTTGGCATGGGACATTTGTCCTCACTTCCTGTCCTGTTTAAACATGAGCTAAAGTTGCTTCAAAGACTCCATTCTGTGTCCATCTGCCCTCACCTCTGTCCTGGTCCAGGCGGTGTCCCTCGGGATGGGCCCTGCTCTGCCTCCAGGTGGTGCTGGGAGCTCAGTCACAGAACCAGGGGGGCATCAGGGCAGGTCTGGCCCAGGGCCCAGTGGGCGGATCTCTAGCAGGAATCCCAGGAATGCAGCCCTGCTTCCCAAGCCAGGCGGCACCTGGGGTCTGCTGAGCCCTGCCCTCCCCTCCCCCCCCCCCCGCCCCCCCCCCCCCCCCCCCCCCCCCCCGCCCCCAAGGCAGACAAAGACAAGAAGGCAGACAAAGACCAGCGGGAATGGCGTGCTCCAGGCCGACCAGGCCCCAAAGCCAAGGAGATTCCTCTGTTTCCTGTGTGTGTGTGTGTGTGTGTGTGTGTGTGTGTGTGTGTGTGTGTGTGTGTGTGTGTGAACTTTTTCACTCAAGCCTGATATACTACTACTGGAGCTATAGCTCCTCTTCC